TCCTTGCCCCCCTTGATCAGCTAGCCGACGTCGATGTGCCGCTCGGTCTGGCTGCTTTCAAGTCATGCACGGCACGCCAAGCCTGCCCGTCGCATTGCCTAGGTGCACGTGTTGGTGGCAGTTAGTGGCCGGGGCCATCGTCTTAACCCTCTTGCGTTTGTTCGCCTGCTCTTTCGTGCAACCACCGTGGCCAGAGCTCCGTGCCACCGCCGATAGGCTCTGCTAGCTCATGGCTCCATGGCCCGATTGCTTGCACCAGTGAGCGGCTTAGGGAGCCAACTAGACACCCTACCTTCCCCATTCCCGACCGAGTACCTACCTACCGTCAATTTGACGAATTGCTCACCGCCGGCCATCTTATCTCCAGAACAGAGCACTGCTTAGGGGTAAGTCCCGAACCCGGAGGTAAGGGTTCAATTGGGGGCATTTCTAGGCTCGCCTTGACCACCTTTAGCCAATGCTCGCATTGTCTTGGCCAAGACCCTCGTCAGTGAAGCGGTGACACGACGGGACAGCCGCGGAGTGTCACCGTCGTGCTTGGGCTCACGTGGCCAGGTCACCTCAACCCTCCCTGGCTTCAACCGCCACCACAGCGCGGACCGCGGTAAGCTTCGAATGCTTCTCCACCACCGCTACTCCTCCGTTAGCGTGTAGGTCCGCCGGAGCAGTCGCGCCGCCGCGCGGATTCCCCATCAACGTGGGTAGGTGAAATTAGTGCACAGTTGGACGTGCTACCGATTTCTACTGCCGCGCGTAGGTCCGGATGTCTCGATCGGCTTCACAGGTGTGTAGATGGGGGTCTCTGTAGGCCGGCGTGGCCATGCGGTGCCCGCCGGAGTCGTGCCGGCGCACGTGGGCGTAGCGGGGACCCGGTCATTGCGAAGACGGTGTTTCTTAGGGTGTTTTGTGCAAAAGTCGAGACTGATGGAACAGTGTAGCACGGCGTAGTTGAAATCGTGAGAGTATGAGCCCTCTTTTGCAAATGTGTTGTGCGCGCGTGGGCTTCCTCCGTGGGCCATTGGCTGGGCTTGCCGGTTGAGCGCGCGGCCGCCCCACGCGGGCCACGTTGGGTTGCTGGGCTGGAATTGCAGCCACCAGCCCTTTTCGTTTTCTAACCTTTTCCAATTTAGTCTCTAGAGTAAATTTGTAAATTCAATATAAATTTGTGTAGAGATTCAAAAATTGTGAAACTAATTTTGTTAGAATCCTAAAATCTTGATCTATCTGCTAATATATCTTGTTCATATAGTTTCGTGATATTTCCAGGAGTTAGTTAATTAATTTGAGATACTAAATATTGTTAAATATGAACTTGTAAGAATTGTTGTAATGAATTGGTGATAGTGTTGACCCTAGAAATTTCACCATAAGTTCCTCGTATTATTAGGTGCTCGCTGTAATTTTTGTAGCTTCTGAATAATTAGTTTGCTGAGGTAACTAATGAGCCTTAGTTTATACATATAGTAAATAAAAGGAAATAAAGAAACACCTAGAAATTTTATAACTAAAACATTGTGGGAAATTAACGCCTTGTTCGACGTGGATACATGGCCTAGTACGTTAGTTGTTAGAGCTAGCCCGTTAGCCTAGCGGTGTAATCGTATTTTAAGCGTTACGATTGCCGTTGATTAATTACGTTTTTTGCGTGTATCCACGAATATCATAATAGGAACAACGATGGATCTGGAGTCGACCAGAGTAGCAGAAAAGATGGTGCCTTATTGATCGTGTCGCCATGATGGAATGCTAATATTTGGTTATATCTTACCCAAACAAGCCCCAGTGCATAACCTCTATTATTCTGCACTTTTATTTTATGCTTGTGCATTAAGTTTTAAGAAGTTGAATGAAAACCCACTTGCATATATATCCTTATCCTATGAGTCTTACTAGTATTATAGGATCGTATAGATTGTTATGCTACAGGACTCCGATAGAAGTCGAGTGATTGTCTGTCACTCGCGAGAGATAGGAAATATATTATTGTTGTTATTATATTACTATCACATGGAATATATATATATATATATGAATGATAATTGGAGACCGGGTGGAATGATACTTTGGATCTGGACTTGGTTTGGCATTCGAGCGAGGCTCGGATGGCACTTGTTCCGCCTGTGTCGGTTAAGGACCGCCGTTGCATTGGGTTCTAGTCAAGGCACAGACTTATTATCCTGGGCACATACTTGTTTATGGGAGCAGGGAAGGCTCGTTGCTCTCTTGTCATGGGTTCTAGATCTTTCCGGACTGACTGATTGGAGGCGGGGATGGTGGAGGTCTAAGCGCCACACTAAGTTCGGGACTCAGGAGTGGGGACTTGGACTCCAAGTTTGGACAGAGACATGGACCCCTTGAGAGGAGAGTGGTGGGTTGGTCTTGCTTGTGCCTGGGGTACAAGCGGGACGTGTGTTTCGGGGTATCCAGCTGGGCACATTGATTCACGAATCGCCGGGTAATCCGGTATGACTTGTCTACAATCTAGCACCGTAGTAAGAACTGTAATATGAGAGATGAAAAACTGGTTCTGATTGCTTATCATCTGCTTGGAAGTAGCACAGGTACTTACATAGAATAGTTAGTTAATGAACTAATGATGACTGCTAATAAAATTGAATATAAGGACGCACGTTTAGTAATGCCCCTACAAATACAATAAACCCACAAGCCAGATAGCCTTGCATACCCTAGGAGTCTTTTTTTTCTCCTGACGGGTAAGTTTTGCGAGTACAATTGAGTACTCAGGGTTTGTTCTACCCTGTTGCAGGTGGCAGGAATATATGGAGCTGACACTTGTGTGTGGAAACCTCCTGGTGGGCTCAGCGAGGATTTCCTTTACATTGCGAATATAGAATTTATTTGAAATTTTCACCCAAAATATTTTACAAATGGAAAAACTTATAACTTGTTACGATGTATATAACGGACCATCATTTTAATGTTTAACTTGTTTGTAAATGATTTTATTTCCGCTGAAACTCTGATAACATGGTCATATTTCGCTGTTTTAAACAATAAATATTATACTCTAATGTTGCATGGAAAGTGATGTAAGAGATGGCTAAGAATGTTCTCCCTTGGGGTGTGCTCGACGGAACTGCATAATTTGGTGTCGTCCCTCGGGTATTTAGTGTTTAATGAAAGATGAGTACTCCTGGGAGGCATTAGATTAGGCGGTTCTACCACACATGTCGCCACCGTGGCCACGCCTGAGCACACCCGGCATCTTCCCTAACTCTGGCGAGCATCTTTCTTCCCCAACTCCGACGCCGCCACCAAATTTTGTCTTTGTCCTTTTATAGAAAAAAATTTGTTACTTGTGATTTGTGATTTGTTGCTTGTGATTTATGATTTGTTACTTGTTATTTGTGATTTGTGCCAAGGAGAAAGCGGGGAGAGGAGGAAAATGAACAGTATCTATGGGGAAAAAATTCCGATGTTTCCTGGTGCTAAAACACCGAGTGTTAAATAGACATACTCTTTTATAACCGTGTCCCTGCTGGCCGGCCCCTCTCTCAATGGGTTTATCAAGATTCTTAATGTGTTTCATCCCGTCACGAGTGACTCTCCAAACTCCCAAATTTACCGCCTCAAGGTGACAAGTCATTCTAGTTTTATAGTAGGGGAAGTTAGTTCCGTCAAAGTGCGGAGGCCTAGAGGTATCAATCCCAACCATTCTAAAAAGCGTCGCTCAACGGCGGCGAAGCCAAAGGTTCAAATTGAGCCAACCTTGCTCCGATACCAATTGAAAGAGGACCGTGATGCCCAAGAGAGGAGTGAATTAGGCAACTTAAAACTCTAACTCTAAACTATGGCCTATTTTTCTATCCTTAGCAAAACATATGCAAAAAGATAAACTATCTAACTGTGCAACTACAGTTTTGCTAGTGTGTTATCTCTACCACAAAAGAAGTTATGCAAACAATGTAAATACGGAAGCTAAAAGTAAGGTAGAGATATGCAAACTCCCATTGATGATTCCGGTATTTTTACCGAGACATCGAGAAGCGCACAAGCTTTCCCCTAGTCCTCGTTGGAGCCCCTCGCAAGGGCCAAGCTCCTGGTTGGGTAACTCCATGGATAGTCCCGGGCATTCCCCACGCGTAAGTGGGTCTCCGATGTGCCTTCCGGCAACGTCTCCTGGACCGTTCCCCACCGTCTTCACTATCGAGCTTCCGGCCGAACCGCCACGGGCCTTATTCCCTTTAATACACGGTGGCAGCCACACCACAAACGCGGTTATTGTGATCTTGCAAGACTACAAGCCCCTCCGATGTACTACAATGGTGCGCGCAAGCACCGAGTGCTAAGAGGTATGCAAACCTCACTAAACACTAGGTCTAAACCTAGAGTAAGCACATAAGCGGTGGTCTAATCAACTTAAGCACTTCGCAAAGCACCTACGCTAATCACCTAATGAATCACTAAGCACTATGCAAGTGGAGATCACTAAAATAGTGTATTAACACCCTTATTATGTTTTCTCTAGCTCCACTCCCCTCAAATGGCAAGGTGGTGCTACAATAAATATGTGTTAATGACGGATTAATTAGATTTAATAAATTTATCTCGTAAATTAATTTCTATCTGTGTAATTAGTTTTATAATTAACTTATGTTTAGTCTTGTTAATTAACATCCAAACATTTGATATGATATGATATGTGGAACCAAACAACCCTTAGATTAGATAGACAGACTCTTTTATAACCCGTGTCCCAGCTGGCCGGCCCCTCTCTCACTGTCTCTGCTGTCGTCGCTGCTAGCGCGCGCTGTACCTATAAGAAAGAGAAGTGGCTGCTTCCCTCTCTCGCTTGGTCTGTTGGTCATCATCATCATCCACCAGTTGTGTTGTTCTTGTCTCGTGGCCTCCATCGTCCTCTCGTCGTGCTCGCGCGCGTTCATTGCCGCCGGCCGGCGTCGCGCGGCCGAGCCTGGGTCGACCGGCGACCTCCTGCCGCACGTCGTCGAGCGCGCGAGCTGTACACATAGTCCGCCACGATGGCCAACTCATCAGGTAATAAAATAATTAAGCAGGTTGCCGAACGAGCTAGCTATGGGAGGCCGCCGGCCGGGGGGCTTTTGGAATTGAATCCATGCGTGTCGTCTTGCTTGCCGCGCGTCTCCCTCTCGCTAGCTCTGTGTGTTGTGTGTGGGTACGGCGTGGCTTTCTAATTTGTTGACGAATCATTATTATTATTATATACAAATCTTCTTTAGTTTCTTGCTTGCTCAGATCCTCGCTCTCTCTCTGTACACACAGCCGTCGCGTCAAAGCAATTTCCAATTTCTGATTTGACTAGTATGTAGGATGATGATTCTGATTCCAGTTTCCAACAGAGCGCTAGTGTTGGTAGCTAGCACTGCTGTGATATGGTATATGGTATATGCACATGAAAAAGCAATAAAGCATGCATGATGTACCTCTCCGAGCCAATTAAACCATATAGTATAGCGCAGCAGGGCTGATGGGGTCCTCCGATCCGATCGATGCGTCCTCAAAATGATATGCACAAGCACAACACAAACATGTCATGAGATGGCAATTAATTAAGATGTATGTATTTGGGGATTCCTCTTTTCATTCGCCTCCATCCATACCTTGCTAGATTATTGTTAGAGTTGATATTACAGATGCTTCTCGCTTGAGCATCATCATTAAGAGATCGAGAAGAGGAGGCAGGGTACACGTTCCGTTGGTAGTAGGCAAGCAAGCAAAATCTAAACAAACAAGCGTCAAGGCATGTGGATCCAATATCTTGAGGCACCACCCACCAGGCCGGCCGGCCAGCAAGCTCGTTCCCACACCCTCTCCTCCTCCCTTAACGCCGGGCGTGGAGCTGGATGGATCGGATCGGAGCTTCAAGATCTCTCCTTTTTTTCCCCTCCTTTCCCTTTGTTAGCGAGAGGGAGAATCGAAATTATTAGGGTGGCGCCGACGACGACCTTGCCGGAGGAGCAAGAGTGGTGGTGGTGGTAGGTCCTCCTCCGTCTCCGCCTTTCCGGCCGGTACAGGTGGCTGCTCGGGCCTACCACAGTTGTGCTGCCTAGACTTTTCCTTGTTGCGGTACTGTACTGTACTGTACAAGTGGAGTGGCCGGCCTGAGCTGGAGATGCAGATGCAAAAATAAATCAAGACCCGTTGTTCCCGGCTGCCTTTTCGGTGCGAGCAACCACTCCAGTTGCTGCTTATGTCGCTTCAATCAAAAGCTGTATATGGCTTTTCAGCACTTCCCTAGTTCCCTTTATGCAGAGTATTCGTGACTTCTTCCTTTAACTAAAAAAAAAGTTGCAAGTATTATTTGAGTTGACCAATGTCGTCTTCATTTCTCATTTCATCAAAACACTAGTTTAATCACCTCAGAGTTCGTTGGCATCCGTGGGGGGACAAAAATGTTTACACTCAACCGGTTCAGATAAAGTTGTCACTCTTCCACAGTTAGCTCCTGCCTCTGTTTCTACTAACTGTTTACGAAAGAATGCCGTCAAAGGAATGCCCATTTCAATTATTAAATGTTTCTCCTCAACAAGTATTTTTCTCCAATAAATATCCCACTGTCATTACTACAATGGAGATTAACATTGTGTTCTCGTGTTTGCCTCAGCTACCAAGCATGCTTTCAAGAGTATATTGGCCAGCCTCCCTAAGCCTGGCGGTGGTGAATACGGCAAGTTCTTCAGCCTTCCTGCACTAAATGATCCAAGGATTGGTAAATTTCTATTCTCGGTTCTGTAATATTTTCAGTTTCTCCTTCCTTCACTTTGCAATTTACATTCCTATTTATCTGGACTATATGCAAATATATACTAGTAGTACACATGCTAATTCTGTATAGCATTCACATTTTCAACTCTGCTGTGTTCACTCACTTCCTTTAATTTCAACAATGGCGTTTGTTTCATCTGCCACCTCTTATGGTACTTAGTAGCAGATTGGAAAAGACAGGTGAAATGTTCCATTGTCTTGGAAAAGCTACATCTCAAACTTTTAGTTTAACTTAAGAAATTATTTTGCATGAGACAATACTATGGCTATGCATAGGTGCAAACTTTTACACCTTTATTTTGCGTACTTATACAAATTGCAATGTTACAATTTTTGCAACATCATGCATGTACATTAATATGTTAATACCATTTTAAATAACAAAAAAATCATTTTTTTTTTTTGGTTCTATCAGATAGGCTTCCCTACTCTATACGTGTTCTCCTGGAATCAGCTATCCGCCATTGTGATAACTTCCAAGTTACAGAGAGTGATGTCGAGAAAATCATTGATTGGGAGAACACATCTCCAAAGCTGGCTGAGATACCTTTCAAGCCAGCGAGATGCATTCTAATGGTTGGTTTTGATCTGACATCTCACAAATTCTTATGCTTCATATATAATTGCTTGTTGCTTATTATATATGATCCAATTTATGATCTAGGACAACACTGGAGTCCCAGCAGTTGTAGACCTTGCAGCTATGCGTGATATGATGCCAAAGTTGGGTTGTGATCCCTACAAGATCAATCCATTGGTACATCTTCATTTTCTCAGTTATTGATTCAACCATCTCAAAAGTTCTGTGCTCCCTCATCTGTTTCTGTTTCACAATACATATTTCCATTTGGATTGTACATGCAGATTCCGGTGGATGCTGTTATTGACCATGCGGTGCGAGTGGATGTAGCAGGGACATGTGATGCATTGGATAGAAATGAAGAGCTGGAGTTCCAGCGCAACAAAGAAAGGTTTGCTTTTCTTAAATGGGCATCCAGTGCTTTCCACAACATGCAGGTTTTCCCCCCTGGTTCTGGCACTGTACACCAGGTAAACTAATGCTCTGGATCCAAGAGAATTTAATGTGTCCGTATCCCAAAAACTCTTTATTTTCATCTTTGATTTGAATTGTAATACAAATTTCAGGTAAATATTGAGTATCTTGCCCGAGTTGTCTTCAACGAAGATGGCATTCTGTACTTCGACAGTGTGGTTGGCACAGACTCACACACCACTATGGCTAATAGTCTTGGAGTTGCTGGTTGGGGAGTAGGTGGTATTGAAGCGGTTGTTGCAATGCTTGGACAGGTAAACACTGTTAAGTGGAGACACAAGGAAAAGATTAGCAGAAAATGATGGGGTTGAGTCATCCATAAAAAATGATGGGATCATCCCATGACTTTTAAACACAATGGGTTTTGCCCACCCTGAAAATCACAAGTCGTATATGGCAGCCAACAAGGAAATTCTAGTCAGACTTTACATGCAAAGCTAGCCTTAACACATCTTTCTGCTCTGATAAGTTCAGCAACAACATATATAGCTCCATAAATGCTGACTTCCTGTCTATGCATTTCAAATTGACCCATAAGTTGGTGTCTTATGCAGCCAATGGGCATGGTTTTGCCTGGTGTGGTTGGATTCAAGTTGAGTGGGAAGTTACGGGATGGTGTCACTACTACTGACCTTGTTCTTACTATGACCCAAATGCTAAGGAAGCACGGTGCTATTGGCAAATTCGTTGAATTCTATGGTAAGCATATTAGAGAAGCGTGGTATACATCTTTGACATAATTTAATTTATTCATATATCTCTCTCAACGACTTTTCTCTTTATTTCTCTGTTGCATTCAGGTGTTGGTGTGGGCGAGCTATCTTTGCCTGCCAGGGCCACAATCGCCAACATGTCTCCAGAATATGGAGCTACCATGGGCTTCTTCCCTGTAGACAAAGTAGCATTGGACTATCTCAAATTGACAGGCCGAAGCGATGAAACTGTATGTTTCACTATGTGCACACTACTCTTTTACCATATGCATTCCATCATTCTGATATATATTTTTTTATTAATAAAACAGTTTTATATCTTGCATTATATGTGATCAGGTGTCGATGATTGAAGCATACCTGCGAGCTAACAAGATGTTTGTGGAGCACCATGAGGTATGGTTTTTGCCTTTTTGGTTTTACAGCGCTTGAGTTCCACTATTCCTGATTTATAAGAAATTGACATATTCGCACTACTCATGGTGCCATGCAGCCTGAGACAGAACGAGTTTACTCTTCACATCTGGAGCTGGACCTTAGTGAGGTGGAGCCTTGTGTTTCAGGCCCCAAAAGGTAAATATAGTGCTCCATGGTTATGATTTTCTCACTGTTGGACAGCAACTATATATTTCAACTGGTGCTAATGAGGACTAGGATTGTGCTGTCCTGTTTGATTGGCCATCCTGCAGGCCTCATGATCGTGTCCCTTTGAAGGAAATGAAGTCAGACTGGCATGCTTGCCTGGACAACGAAGTTGGTTTCAAGGTAATAGGCCCTTGGTTCTGTAGTACATGATATTTCCTTTATAATTTTCTTTAAGAAAAAATAATGTCGGAGTATCTTAAATTTATTGCATGGCAAACACTACTCCAGGGCTATGCAGTGCCAAAGGAACAGCAGGGTAAAGTTGTGAAATTCGACTTCCATGGACAGCCAGCTGAAATCAAGCATGGCAGTGTTGTTCTTGCAGCAATATGTAGCTCCACAAACACATCGAATCCCAGCGTCATGATTGGTGCTGGCCTTGTGGCAAAGAAAGCCTGCGAATTGGGACTTGAGGTTGGTTTATTGTTCTTTAGTATATAATGTTTTGTTGTTGTATTGATTATTCTCCCCTGGCCTCTTCTCTGCTCTGTTTTCTTACTGTGGAACAACTCTTATATATCCTCAGGTGAAGCCATGGGTAAAGACAAGCCTTACCCCTGGATCTGTGGTTGCTACTGAGTACTTGAAACATAGGTATATCTATAGCTTTGCCATTCAAATCTAGTTCTGTTAGTCCAAAATTGAGACGCATCATGTTATCTGATGGCATGTCTGAATTTAGAAATTGCTTGTGTTTTCTCCATGCAGTGGCCTTCAAGATTATCTGAACCAGCAAGGTTTCCATGTCGCTGCGCATGGCTGTGCCACATGCGTCGGCAACTCTGGCGACCTGGATGAATCTGTATCAGCTGCTATCACAGAAAATGGTAGGATATTATCTATTTTTGTAGCTATGCACATAACAAGTTTCATTAATTGGTAGCTTATGGTTTACTCTTGCACATACAGATATCGTTGCTGCTGCTGTGCTGTCGGCCAACCGAAACTTTGAAGGCCGCGTGAATCCTCTCACTCGGGCTAACTACCTCGCCTCGCCGCCTCTTGTTGTTGCCTATGCTCTTGCCGGCACTGTAAGTACTCCACTTCATGCTGTTGTTTCTTCAACTTTGCCATATATAGTGTTATTTTGTGTCTGACACACACTATGGCTGGTCAGATAGCATCACATACGTCTTGTGCCTTTTCAATTAGGTTGACATGGACTTTGAGAAAGAGCCTATTGGAGTTGGAAAGGGTGGCAAGGAAGTTTTCTTGAGGGACATATGGCCCTCAAACCAAGAAATCGATCAGGTTGTTGATTCCAGCGTGCAGACTCACTTGTTCAAGAAAGTGTACGAGTCCATCATGGAACGCAACCATAGGTGGAACGAGCTGCCGGTTCCAAAGGAGGCGCTGTACCCATGGGACGACAAGTCCACCTACATCCGCAAGCCCACATACCTCGACGGCATGTCCATGTCACCACCCAGCCTGCCCAAGGTGACGGAGGCCTACTGCCTGCTCAACCTTGGGGACAGTATCACCACGGACCACATCTCCTACTCGGGGAAGATCCCCGAGGGCACCCCTGCGGCCAAGTATCTGCTCGAGTATGGCGTGGAGCCCAAGAACTTCAGCTCCTATGGTGGCCGCCGTGGGAACAATGAGATCGTGATGAGGGGAGCGTTTGCCAACATGAGGATCGTGAACAAGCTTCTTGATGGCAAGGCTGGTCCCTGGACGATCCATGTTCCTACCGGGGAGAAGCTCTATGTCTTCGATGCCGCAATGGTATATATGCATGCTCGATTATCATAATGCTGGTGCTACTACTGCATATATATGTGAATAATCTCCTTTTTTAATATGTATGTGATTGATGCAGAAATACAAGTCGGAAGGTCATGATATGGTCATTATCGCTGGTGCTGAGTACGGCAGTGGCAGCTCTCGTGACTCTGCTGCCAAGGGACCAATGCTACTGGGCGTCAAGTCGGTGATTGCAAAGAGCTTCGAGCGGATCCACCGGAGCAACTTGGTGGGAATGGGGATCATTCCTCTCTGCTTCAAAGAAGGCGAGGACGCCGATTCACTTGGCCTCACTGGACACGAGCGCTACACCATCCACCTCCTTACCAGCATCTCCGAGATCAGTCCTGGCCAGGACGTGACAGTCACAACCCACGACGGCAGATCCTTCACTTGCATTCTTCGCTTGGACACACAGGTATGAACATTGCTAAACATTCCAAAAAAACTACCTGTAGTAATCCTTACCATCCAGTTCTTGTGTAAATGACACACATTATGTTGTTCTTGGCGCTGTCATGCAGCTTGAGGTGGCATACTTCAGCCACGGAGGCATCCTTCCCTACATGGTCCGCAACCTGGCAGCACAGATGAAATAAGTTAAAGTTTATTGGTGGGAATAAATTAAAAGGTTGGAGTCTCTTGATCATATCTGTGCAAATTGACATTGTCTCTCTCTAATCGAAAAATTTTGTGCAAATTGAAATGGTCAATATCTGATCGAAAAAAATTGTGCAAATTAATTTCAATCAAGAATAATCTGTGTAAATTGATGTACTCTCTCTGATGCAAAATATATGTCAATCAAGACACTCACACGGTGTACACAGTTTGACTAGCATATTTCTATGAAAGTATGATATATCAAATTCAAATAATTACACATTATGGAAGCACTTTTCATGATGCATCTAACAACGTCAATCTATGTAATGGTTCATTTATCCATGGTCAAAGCTATAAAAAATCGACTGCCAAGAATTTTAAAACATTTTTTTTACATATTTTGGATCGAAAGGAGTATTAGTACTATGTGCAAAAGCTTTCTAATCACTAGACTTTCTATTATTTGATCACATATTCTCTTCTATTGATACACATGTTGGATATTTGCTATGTAGGTAGTTTAATGCCACATATTCAGCGCATGTCTGTAAATAAGTGGCAAGTTCGAATCTTCACTTGCGCTCTTCGCTCTGGCATTGAGGTATGCATGTATATTCTAAAATAAAAAATAAAAATTAGTAGATTTAATCACCATATGTATTTGCTGAATAATAATAATAATAATAATAATAATAATAATAATAATATGTTTTCTGAATAATAAGACATTGTGTTCTTGGTTGTGGTGCAGGTGGATCGGAGCTGCCATATATACTTTCTCCGCAGCACATAGGCATGAATTTTGTTTTAGCAGCCGATTATTTGTACTCTTGATTCTTTGGTTACATGCCCTCTTCCGTCCTCTTGATTGATGTCAATTTGCTTTGCAAACAATATCAGCGCGCCTTTGTAGATTTCGAAATGGATATATATGTCCTATTGAAATTTGCTACTCAAGTGTATTTTCCCTAAAAAAACATGAGCATCTGCACCCCAGCAGCCTGGCCCAGCCCTCATGTGCAGGGAAACAAACAGGTCCATGTGGCCTGGAGGCTGTAGGTGTTCCGTTCCCGGTTCGCAGGTGCGAGCGCAGAGCACAGAGCACAGAGCTACAGAAGAGAGCAAAAAAAACAAAAAACTGTTTTCGCCCGGACTCGAACAGGAGACCTTCAGTGTGTTAGACTGACGTGATAACAAACTACACCACGAAAATCTGATGTCCTTTGGTTGATACTTTACGTTATAATAAGTCTGCATCAAGGGCACTATCACCCATGAGCTCAAACTTTATTTTCAATTTCCCGATAAAGCGTAGCACATACGTTACAAATTATGGTTCGTTTGAAAATAGAACACTAGAAAAGGAAGTGGGTGGGCTTGGCATTCGTGATCTTTAGAAAAAGTCAACGGAAGTCTTGACATTCATTTTGCTTGGATGGTGATGTTATCATCATGTTGCTAACTCTGTGTTAGTATATTTCCATTTTTGTCTCCCATGATCAACACAATTCATATATATAAAGCAGAAAACACAGAAAAGGCAAAATGTAGGGGGAACTATTCTTTATTATTTGAACATTGATTATTTTTACATGTGGATTTCATCATGTGGGTGCATCATTCTTCAAGTTCTAAGCACATATGATATGAATCTGAATGAATAAACTTCAGAAGTGTTCCTGCAACATCATAATATACCAACAGAGTGGTCTGTATCATCAATCTGCGATACAAGATTACAACACAGTTATAATCGAAATACAACATGAGAACGTATTGTCCTATGTAATCTAAGTGGCAGTATGGCTGCTTTCTGTCGGTTGACAACATGAGAACCTGTAGCTTCAATAATCTTGCAACTATGTATATAATATCCCAGCTCATATATATCATCATCCACTTGTCCCACACAACCCCTACTTGCCAGTGCAGGCGTGAACTTCATAGAAAGAATCTTCTAACCTTTTAAATTCATCGAGAGGAACATTTAGGCCTTTAGTAATTAGACTAGGAATTTATTTTTATTCACTAAATATAAACAAAATAAAAACAACAGCCCCCGAATGAAAGGCGTGCGCATTCTGTTACCTGCTCCAGAGTTAAGAACATTATCACATTCCATGACCCAATCCGACAAAAGTTTGCAATGAATCCCTTGTAGAAAGCACCAGGTCCCTATGGAAAATAACCATCAGCTGCATAACACATGAGACCACATTCTAGTCTAAATTAGCGGATAGAAAAATCCACTCCACAACAACAATGCATCTGCATCATCCAAAACTAGATCAGCAAGGAAAAGAGCTATGGTTAATAAAAATATTGTAGCATGTTGAAAAATGGACACCAACCTAAGAATTATTTTTCTAGCTTAATCAGAAGTTTTTTCCAGCAACAAAAAATTAACTCCTAAATAAACAAACTATACATACTAAGAAAAAATCATAATCAGAATAAGTAAATAAGCAGAAAAAGTATCCACCAACTCAACCTCTTGAATGAAAAATGTAAATACCATCAAACTAGACATAATTTCAACAGATTCCATAAGAATAAGTTTATAAACAAAACCGATTTTGATGAGCCAGTAGATAAGGTAAGCCTAGGGAACTAAGAGTTCAAACAGAAGCCATGTCTTCTGTTACAAGAGTTTTATAAGAAACTTAGACTCACTTCTGTCAAGACAAGTCCTGGAGACCATGGTCCATCACATAATGTAGCTGGATTAAATAGATGGCTCCCTTCCTAATAACTAGGCCATGCTTGGAACCGCTTAGTTTTTTAAGCCATTTTTTGCTAGCTTCCCACAGTCAGTTTCCCTTGTTTAATTTCCAACAACAGAATCTGGAGTGCAGTTTGAAACACATAGAATGGAAACACAAAACTTGCAGTGTTTCTAGTTTCTACCCTTGGATGAATTTCATACAATTGTTACAAGTTTAATTTGCTATCCACCATTTTGGTTGCCAATGATGAATCAGAATATAACATTGCGAGTATCAGGAGTACTAATGATGTTCGCACTTTGGAATTTCTCAACAAATCTTTCAAGAATCAAGATACTGCAGGGAAAAAAGGGGTTGGGTGGGGGTTCAACTCCTTTGAACATTAATTCTCTCCATCAATCCCTCAAAGCCATGCCCCTCAATTAGCATTCACCTCATCACTTCGTGCACATGTTGAAAAACTCGAGCATGATAAATCCTAATAGATTTGCTTTTGGACCTTAAAAGATTCGTGTAAATAGATGATAATATTCCTTGTTTTAGATTATGACCCAACTGAATGCACATTTTCTGAGCATTGTAATTCCAGGCCTCAATCATGAAAATGTAGCAATGTTCTTGGCAACTTCAAAGGCTGAAGTCTAAAGCTCAAAATATAAATTGCAGCGTAAACTAAGAGTGGGTTATATTATAATATCATGACAGTCATTTGTGTAGTGACCTGTAACCGATTTTTCAACTGAATTAATGGTCAAAGCTCTACATTGGAATATGGAATAAGTTTAAAGTGACAAGGGTAGAGGGTAGATGGATATTGACATACTGGATGCATACACATATGAGCTTGCCAACAAAGACCCAAGTGGAATGACTTCTTATTCTTGCAACAAGTGCAAAAAGATTTGTGGTAGAATAGAGCAACGGACAGAGGCAATTCAGAAAAAAACAGGGAAAGGATTTCATACGTCAATCTTTAGTGTCTTGGCAAAACAATCAAGAGTACTTCTGTACGTTGAATCACCCATCATTCTTGATTTCACCTAAACAGAAGTCACGGTAATCGAATTTGTGAAAATTAAGGAAGGGTTCAGAGTGAGCTAAACAAATATTGCAACTGGGAACTTGGTAGTGTGCATATCCAGAATTTGCAGAGCATACCACATCCACTGGAGAGCCAATGCAAACAGCGAAAACCCCAGCACCAAGTCCAGCTAAAATATGGGTAAAAACGTTATCAGTAAACCCAGGAAGTTTTAGAAACATCTGCATGAACAGAACAAAGGAATGAACAATGATAATGAAATATAATGCCCACCACAAGACAAAAGAGAGTCAACAGGTACCTGTTTGAACTGATCGTAGCTGGCCAACTCAGCAGCGTTAATTATGGCATTGCGTGCGACATTTGGACCAAGACCAGTCCACAAAGCTCCAATACCTTCCTGGAAGTATGAAAGATTTAAGAACCATGAGAAAAAAAGGAATAATCATCTAAACTTACTGCCCATGATTGTTATAGTAACCTGTCTGATTATTGTAGCATATGCATTAAGGGCTCCAGAATAACTCCTCTTGACAGCGTTAGCCTTTCCATCAGCTTGCAACCTAACTTTGACAAGATCAGTTGGATTTGCCACAACAATCGCTATGACACCTGAAAATAGACCCAAAAAAAGATCATTTAATAATGTATGGTTGTCCACATTGCCGAGCCTGACCCTTTAAAGTGAACCAACATGATTTGTTAACTACGATGCTAAAAACAGAAACAAAAAACTTGTGCATAGGACAAACCAGACATGAACCAAGAGAGGCAATCATGTTTTGGATGTGAATAGTAAACAAGAGGAATGATTTAAAGAATAGGTAAAAAAATAGATGCAAGGTTCCCACGATTTATTCTGCATCCACATTTAGGGTGTATGTGGCAGTCTGGCAGATAAGAGATAAGTTTGCTGTGTTGCAATCTGAAAGAAGTGTAGTTATTTTAAGCTGAAGTGGAGGGAGCAGAATGTACCAACGACCTGTGGTAAGCGCAGCAAGAATCTTGCTTAGTAAACTGACATCACCCACAGCAGCACCTCCTACGAAGAAAGCCTTCACCTGCAAGTAAAGAGAAGGGAGATTGCCTTTGTTGTTATGAGGAAGACGAAGTCACATTGAATTGGAGGAGGAGGCAAGCGAAAGAATGTGGAGGGGCACAGACAGGCTCATACAAGCCGATGCGGAGGCCACCGTAGAGGAACTGGCGGTGAAGGCCAGGGATGACGCCCTTCCAGAGCGCAGCAACCCCTTCCTCCCTGGCGATGCACATGATCGTGGCTAGCATTCCTCCACCACCAGCAGCTGTGGCTGCAGCCGCGGGTGGCGCCGGCAGCGGCGTCTTCCTTTGCAGCTGGAGCCGCACTTTGGCTGTGTCCAAAGGAATGGTGCACACCTGATTATATTATATTCATTGGTAAATCAAAGCTGACTCCAAACCCAAATTGTTGACAGTGAGATCCATTTTGGCTGGAATTAAATAAACATCCTCCTTCCTATTTTCTTTGAAAGCAATTGCAATTGGCATGTACTATCTATGTTGGCCCAGCAAGTAGCCCCGAACTACTAATTAATTCTAAAAAGTCGCAAAATAAAAGACAGATAGCACGCACGCCACTTGCAAGCCAAACAAATTCCTGTTTTAATTTGGTTAGCCTCAATCAAAGGCTCAAATAAAGGTCAAAGCAGAGGTACTACCTACAAGCACTAGTCACTACAAACTGGTGGGTGATATTAAGGGGGGGAGGGAGTCGTCCCAATTTGGCTGCCTCCGACTTCGCCTCCCACTCCCAGATGGGTGGATGCGATGCGATGCGATCCGCGAGGGAGGCTAGGGAAAGAAAAGAAAAAAAAAGAAAGAAAGAAAGAAAGAAATTAAAGAATGCGGAGGGGAGGGGCGGGCGGTACCTCTGCGAAGCAGGCGGCGAAGGCGCTGCTGAAGAAGATGGCGGTGAAGGAAGAAGAGGCCGCGGCCATGCTCCCCCGTCTCGCCGGCGGCGGGCGCTCGTGGTGGTGGGGTTGGTCGGGGACGAGAAGAATCCAGTGACTGTCTGTGACTCAGTCGGCAGGCAGTGCAGTAGAGTAGCGCGTTGCGTGGGCGAGGGAGGGTGGGGGGTAGTTGGCTTTTCGCTCTTTGGCTGGATCGACTGGACAACAAGAGCCAATGCACACACGTACGGTAGCACCGATATGCACAAGGTCACTCACATGCATCGCCCCCAGCAGCTTCCCAAGGGCCACCAGGCAGATCCAGATCTCGATTCAGAGAACTATGACCACAAGCAAGGTGAAAGTTAAACATCAAACCAGTTTCCAAAGTACCTGCGTACCACTTTGATGTGTTGGCCCCGGTTCGTTTCGTTGCAAAAAATAATTTGTTGCGAGAAAAACACTGTTTCTATTAAAAAGATAAATCAAAAAATACAGATTATAAGAGAAGCGAACACGACCGTTGTGTTTCACTTTCACACGAGAGCTACTCCTAAGTTGAGCCCAAATATTCTCTCTCTGTTACTACCGCCTTCCACAGCTCAGAAAAAGAGTCATTTTCATTTTAGGAACTTGATTTTGTGCTCCATCAGTAGATGCCATTTCATATATAGATTGGTGTTCGCATCACACCGTTGATTTTACAACTAAAGTTAATTGTTGTTGCAGGTTTGGTGATTATTCTCCGTAAACAATTAACGAGAACTCTGACTTTTACTATCGAACCTTGAGCTATCAAAGTTTTGTTTAAACATATTCGTCGACTACAGAACAGAAAAAACCATCATTTGATTTGTCAGTCAAACTAGTTTTAAGCTCGTCATACTATTTCTAACTATCTGTACTACAAATATCAACAGACAAGACAAACAACAAAGCATTGAATCGTCAAGTCAAAGTTATCCATTATTTTAAAGAGAGCTCAGTATTCATTGGGTTTATAGATAGAGCTATTAATTAAAAAGGGGAGAGAAAACGTGTTGTCGGTGGAAACATCAATTACTGCTTGTTTGGGACCAAGAGTTCTATTCTATCTCAAGGAATTCAATCTAATTTTGTACCCTCACTTTAATTAAAAAGAAAACAAAACATCAACGGGAGCTTCTTCCAATCCATGTACTCCCTCCATGTCAAACTATAAGGTGTTTTAATTTTATTCTAAATCAAACTTCTCTAACTAAATTCGTCAAAAAGTGATCCAACATCCAAGTAGTTCCAACAACTCCACTATATAGAATATGTCTTGGTAGCCTATTTATTCGCTATTAATATATTTCCTTTAAACTTTAGCAAAATTTTAAAAAAATTGACTTAGCATATTGTCGAGGGCACGTAACCAGGGTACCTCAAGACACTGTGAGAAAGTCCCTCTAGACAGCCCAGCGGGGCATGGCCCAGCAAAACCACAGCCTATCTTTGATCTCTCGCCCCGAGCATTACGAGGCCCGCCTCGACCTCTCCCGCCTCTCGACCATGCACCGCGCGGTGCCCTCGACCACCTCCGGCCTTCACCGCTAGGGAACGACGGGAGGTGGGTGGACGCATTAAATGCACCTGCCCGGGACGCGCATGCGCGCACTTTGCTGGTACAAGAAGGATGACCACCCCTCGGACCGCCAGGTACGATAGAGCGCCATCTTGGGCAGCACTCCACTGACAGACAAGACAACACTAGGACTCGGTTACGTCACCCCGCATGGCTCAGCACCGTCCAGACCCCGTCCGACTCGACAGACGGGCGTACGATCATACCCGCCATGGAATGGGGCGCATGACTAGGTAGCCAGTTCTCCATGAACCGATCGGATCCGATGCCCCCGACCTGGCCACGAGAGGTCGGGGCAACGGGGCCATGACCAAGGGAGCAAGCAGCCCATGATGGACAACCGCTCCCCCATACAATTACACCACGACTTCTTCCCGAAGAAACGGGCACCAGGACAAGGGCCACAACGTTAATAACGAGCCCATGCCATACAGGAGGGTTGGTGAACAACCGCCATTCCCACAGTGACGCCACGACCAACACAGTGCCGCCATGGCATGCCATGCCTTCTTGGCATGGGGAACAAGACCCCGATGACCATACTCGGATGTGCGTACAAAAGCAAGGACAAGATTGGATGGATTGTTGACCAAGTTCACTAGCTTCTCCCTCCCCTTGGGCTGTCGACCACTCGGGTCGGGGGAACCCTTTACTTCTGCATGTTTCCCGGCCCCCGTGGCTATATAAGGGGAGCTGGACCATCTTCCTAGCTGGATCGAATTCCCCTATCTCTAGTTTTCTATCCGTAGAACCCTAACTTGTATTCCCCTGTTATAAACCGTTTGGAGCACTTGAACTGAGGAACACATACTCGTAGTCTCTGGCACTGGACATAGGGCTTCGTCCCAAACCAGTATAATTCCTTGTGTCTCGAGTGCCAGACATCGATCCCTTGAGCAGCACGGCGCTAAATTTACTCGTCGATTCTTCAAACACCGATAGATATAAATCTAAAAAAACTTACATTTGGAAATGAAAGGAGTAGTTCTAGATTGCCCCAAAAGAATGTTGAAACAAATCAAAAGATACTATGTCCGCCATGTCAGAAAGTATGATGTGATTGCTACTTGTCACCTAAAGCCATTCAAGATACCAGTGGTGCTTTTCAAATAAAAAAACAGGGGTGGAATGGTCATAACATACAAACTTGATTATGATTATCAGGGTATATGAAAGGTTCTAATGGCTAGAGGGGGGTGAATAGCCTATTGAAAATTTCTACAATAACACTTAGCTAAATTAGACAATTAAACGGCGAAGCGAGTCTTGCGCTAGCCTACTAAAAATGCAAGTCACCTACCACAATTCTAGTGACTATGATCTCTAAGCATACAAAGGCTATGTCACTACACTAAGTTAGTGAGCTCTCAAAGACTAACTAAAGAGCCTCATTAACCACTAGACCCGACATAAGCTAGCTCTCAAAACTAATTACACTAAAAGTGTAGCAACACTAGAAATATAAATGCAAGAGAGATGATGTGATAGTTATACCGCCATGTCGAGGATAGAGCCAATCACAATATGATGGAGCCAAACAATCACAATCAATCAAGAAATCCTTGAGACAAGATGACACAAGATTTTTTACCGAGGTTCACTTGCTTGCTGGCAAGCTAGTCCTCGTTGTGGCAATTCACTCACTTGGAGGTTCACGCGCTAATTGGCATCACATGCCAAACCTGCAATCGGGTGCCGCACAACCAACACAAGATGAGGATCACACAAGCCACGAGTGTTGACATTTCTTAGCGTCGCTACTAAGAATAGAGTTTTAAATCTAGTCCCTAGCAATAGCACCAGAAATGCTTGTTGGTATTTATTAACGTGTCACTTGTTTTTAAATAACCACCTATTATAAACCTATATCTCCTAATTTTACTAGGTTGTCATCCCTAGTGATGATATCAGAGATACTTGTTGGTACTACATAGCATTACTACTAGAATAATACTAAGCAGTTCTTTATTAATTATATGACTAGGAAGAATAAATAAATATATGAATGAAAAGAGTCTACAAGCGCACAGATAATATACCATTGTAGCATTTTACTCGAGAGTATTTTAGGTATCGTTATTTATATTTTTACCATAGGAAAGGTCTAGCATGGACATGTATTGATAACTTATACTGTTGAAGGAGGAGTAAACCATAACCAATATTGAAAGTGCAATCAAGCCCTAATTGTGGGTTTTAGTGATAATGACCATGCAATTAGAGAAATAATAAGATTTATCGAGATGACAAACAGGGAATTCATGTTCGAGGATGCTATACGAAATGGAGGAGCCCCCAATTACAAATGTAGATGTCTTCAAACTCAAAGGAGGTTTAAATTCTTTTATATTTTGAATTTGAGTATAGGAAAAGTCGTATTATAAAGGAGAACACAATGCTTAAGCTAATATGTGCTACCAAGTGCTCAAACATACACATGCATCCTTAGATTCACAGCCAAGACAGTCTACACTTCACTCTTATCCTTGCTGTCTTACGTGGTGCGGCACTGCCACACTTGAAGAGAGGCACTGTCGTGACTTAAGTGACCGTTAGGGCTGAGGGGGTATTTATACCCATCCCCTTCATCCCCAACGTCTCTCTTTTGGCTCCTACTCATTCTAGCTGTTCCAAACAGAAAAGGAGCTCTCTCTCTCTCTCCCTCCATTGTTGACCTCAAGCACCCAAGCAAATCCATTGATTTCTCCATCAATCCTTGAAGGAAAAGGGCCCAAAACTCAATTAGAGAGCAGCTCCATTGATTCCCCAACTCGAAAGAGAACTTGGTTCATGTTTTAGCCGACGATTGTGTTTGTTACTCTTGGAGATTAGCTCCTAGCCGGCTAGAGCGTCGCCCGTGTAGCTTGCCAACTTGTGTGGCAGCCCCGAGAGGTTTGTAACCATCTCTTGAAGTTAGTAAACTCACCCATCATTTCAAGAGTGAAGTCTCTTGATTTGAGAATGAGGAAGGGTTGGAAAGCCCTAAGCCTTAGTGGCTAACCTCAATAACGTGGAGGTAGGCAAGCCTTGGTTGCAAGCCGAACCACGGGATAAATCATTGTATCATTTGTGCTTGATTTACATTACTTGCATATATTGTGATTGAGGTGATTTCTAGGGTTTCTAGTCGATCTACTTGTATGTGGTGTTCCTACCACTTCTAGCTCTTGATCTGTGATTGTCATACCTACAGTAAGCTAGAAAATTTCTCTAATCTAAGTTTTTGTTCATGGATTTTGAACTGTGACTCGAAGTTGTCTGCAGGTGCGGCAATGCCGCTGTTCTAGCCTGGCAGTGCCACCCTCCAGAGCGGCAGTGCCACAGGGTGAATTTAATAAAAGTTTGAGTGTTTGTTTTGATAGGCCTATTCACCCCCACCCCTCTAGGTCAACCAGAGATCCTACAAGTGGTATCAGAATAGGTTACCTCATATACACTTCAC